AGGAGGAGGAGAAGGAGGAGGAGGAGGAGGAGGAGAAGGAGGAGAGAGGAGGAGGTGGAGGAGGAGGAGGAGAAGGAGGAGGAGGAGGAGGAGGAGGAGGAGGGCGGAGGAAGGGGAGGAGGAGGAGGAGGAGGAGGAGGAGGAGGCGGAAGAGGATGTGGAGGAGGAGGTTGAGGAGGCGGATGAGGAGGACGAGGACCCCCTCTCCCTCCAGCTTCTGCTGGCGGTGGCGGGAAGCAGGCTGGTCACGACCTCACCGGGAGCCGCCGCCGCAGGCGGCCGCGGCTCTGCCCCCGCCGCCCTGGCCCAGAGAGAAAGCCCAGGAGGCGCCGAGCAGCCTGCCCCCGGGCCGCGCCTGCGCTCCGCGCGGCTTGCCCACCCCGGCGGCCTGCCTGCGCGCGCCCGCCCCCGAGGTCCGACGCTCCCAGAGAGCCCCCCACGCATGGAGCACATCGAGGCCGAGGTGTTTCGCTACGTTCGGCCTCCATAGGGGCCGTCGCCGGGCCTCGGGGCCGTGGAAAAACGACTCAGGACGAAGAGCCGGTGCTGGGGCACGGGTCGAGACTTCTGGGGACCCCGTATTGAAAAAGTTACGACGTCGGATCCCTCGGTTGCGAGACAACTGCAGCATCGAGGGAAATCGCACCAAGAGCCCCAGACCCCACGGCTGAGCGGCATTTCTTTCGTGCCAGACCGGCATGTGAGTGTCCCGGGCTGGGCGTCGCGTAGTGGGGGGGCGACCAGTGGAGCGGCTGCGAGGGCTGTAGAAAAGGAGCCCTGGCAGGGCCCCCAAAGGGGCCCTTTCGGGCCCCACAGGGGGGCTTTAGGGCCCGAGAAGTGCACTTTTCTTCCCCCCCATTCCCAGACCCCCGACGCCATGATTTTTTCATGACGTCGACCCCCAGCGGACTGGACCCATTCCCTGGGACCGGTGTTTCGTCCCGAGTTCTCTTTTTCGACGGTCCCGAGGGCCGGCAAGGGCCCCCCACAGGCCAGACAGAATGAAAACCTCCCGTCGTGATTTCTGTCACACCTCGAGGCCCAGACCCCCGACGTAATGTTTTTTTCATTACGTCGACCCCCAGAGGTCTGGACCCTTCCCCAAGACCGGCTTTGCATCCTGAGTCGTTTTTTGACGCTCCCGAGGCCCGGTGAGGGCCCCCGGAGGCCGAAAATTAGGAAAGACATCCCGTCGTGATTTTTTCATTACTCGAGGGGGTCTGGGGGGGGTCTGGGTGAGTCTCCCCCCAGCAAGCGACGCCCGAGGACGGGCGAGTTCGCCCGCTGCGAGAGAGCTGCGGCGCCCGGAGCTCGGGGCCGGCGGGTGGCAGGCAGTCTCCCTCACCTCGGCGGGCGGCAGCCGGCCTCCTTCGTTCCCAGACCCCCCCGACGCCATGATGGTTTCACGACGTGGAGGAGGAGGAGGAGGAGGAGGAGGAGGAGGAGGAGGTGGAGGAGGGGGGAGGAGGAGGAGGAGGAGGAGGAGGAGGAGGAGGAGGAGGAGGAGGAGGAGGAGGAGGAGGGAGGAGGAGGAGGAGGAGGAGGAGGGGGGGGGCCCAGCGTTCTGGACCCATTCCCTGGGGCCAGTGCTTCCTCCCGAGTCGCTCCTCGACGGCCTCGAGGGCCGGTACGAGGGCACCCAGAGGCCGAAACAGAGAAAAAAACTTCCCGTCGTGATTCTGTCGTGGCCCGAGGGGGTCTGGGTTGGGCAGCAATGGTCGCGGGCGGCAGCCCCGTCGGCGGCGGCCCCGCCGCGCTGTACTCGCCCGTCTGCGCCCCCGCCGAGCCGGGGGCTTCGTGCCTGCGGATCGCGCGATCGGCGATCAGAGATCGCAGTGGGGGACCTCACGATCGCCGATCACGTGATCGGCCTGGCTGGATCACGCGATCGTCCGAGCCGGAGTGCGTGATCGATCCGTGATCGACGCTGTAGCCATCGGATCCGATCGATACGATTCGACATCGATTCTGGCCGGCTCGATCCGATTCGATTTCGGTGTTCTGCGATCCGATGTGGCCCGACGCCTGCGTGGCGTTGTGCATCCTGGCGCAGCCGATCCGATTCGCTTTCGACTCCGTGCCGATGCAGCCCGATCCGACGCGCGTTCTGATTCGATCCGATTTCCCGACTCGATGCGGACGGATCTTGCAATCGTGATCGTGGTGGCGATCGGACCACGTGAGCTGGTGGCGTGACCGGCCGAGTGATCCGCCAGACACCGATCGGCGGCGAGCGAGGGGGGAAGTGAGAAGGAGCAGGCTTTCTCAGAAGGCGGCGGGGGCCTTCTGAGAAATGTTTTGTGCCTTCGGGGAATGCTCATAGATCTCGCCAGAAGGCGGAGGACCTCGAGCCTTCTGAGCAGGCCCACCCCCTCTCGCTTCCCCCCTGGCTTGCCGCCGATGGCTGGTCGATGATCGGCTGTTCGGGCGGCGCCGTCGTGATCGTCGTCGTCGTCGTCGAGGATCGATATATCGGTGGGGGTCGTCCTGGCCGTCGTCGACGGTGGATCGGTCGCCGTCGTCGCCAGTGACGTCGATGGGGCGAGCATCCATGGGTCGATCGGTGGCGGCGCCCTCCAGCTCGGTCACCATCGCGTCCGGGCGCCCCGTGAAGTTCAAGTGTGACCGCGTTTGTTCTGGAACAGGATCAGCAGAAAACGGTGTTCGAGGAGGTCTCGCCTCTGCTGGAGAACACGGTCGCGCGGGGCAGCGGTCTCCATGTGGCCTCTCTTTTTTGCGGGCAAGATCAGGAGGGGAAGAAACGCACGGGCACAATGAATCTTGGAAAATACGTGAAAGCATGGGAAGTTGGGGGGGGAGACGAAAATCAAACAGATATCAGAAAATATAGGAGTTCTTGGGAGTTGTGGGGGGGAGACGACAAGCAAGCAGATATGGGAAAATGTACAGGACCTCTTGGGATTTGTGTGTGTATCTACCTGCGTGCCCCTGGGCTCCTTCGCAGCAGCGCAGGCGAGGATCGATAGCGGTCCATCGCGCGGTCGATCCCCGCGGGGCCCGCCAGCCGGAGCCGCCGAGGCCGGGGGCCGCGGCCGCCGCGCTCCTGGGCGAGCGCGGCGGGGCCGCGGCGCAGGAGTGCGGGCAAGGTGCGTACTCCAGAGTTCGTAATAAAACGGAGGGGGTCTGGACCCTCCAAGACAAGCCATTTCAGACCCCCCCCTCTGGGAGAAATCTCCAAAACATCGTCCCCAGACCCCCCCAGGCCCTCCAAGATAGCCTGGAAGAGACCAGACCCCCCCCCGTGGGAGAACCCTCCAAAACATCGTCTCCAGACCCGCCAGGCCCTCCAAGATAGCCTGGAAGAGACCCCCCCTCCGAAATGAGACCCCCCTCCCTTTATTACGAACCCTGGAGTATCCATATCCAGTGCGTCTTGGATTTTTTTGAAAGGAGCGTCACAAGGCCGAGGCGCACTGGGTATGGATAAGCATCGAGGCTCTAGGGGGCAAATTTATCCATATCCAGTGCGTCTTGGATTTTTTGGGAAGGAGCGTCACAAGGCCGAGGCGCACTGGGTATGGATAAACATCGAGACTCCAGGGGGCAAATTTATCCATATCCAGTGCGTCTTGGATTTTTTGGGAAGGAGCGTCACAAGGCCGAGGCGCACTGGGTATGGATAAACATCGAGGCTCTGGGGGGCAAGTTTATCCGTATCCAGCGCGCCTCTGGTTTCTGGGGAAGGGAGCCCGAAACTCTATATATCGCAGTGGACATGGGCGGAAGTACTGCCCGCAAGGAGCAGCACGCCCTGCGCCGCAGGGCGCGGGCGCTGAGCGCGGGGCTGCTCTTCGAGGGGCGCGGGGCGGTGCTGGTCGCCGGGGAGCAGCAGAGAATCACACGGCCACGACCGCGGATTTTTTTCGGGAGGGCCCCCTCGGGGGGAAGGGCCCGCCGATCCCTCGACGGCAGCGATTTTTTTCACGGTGGTCCCAGGCGATCGCGAGCACGGAGTCAGGGGGCGTGGATTAGCGACGGGTCCCGCTTTCCATGGGAGATCGCGGATTTCCCCCGCCGAACGAGGCGGCACCAGCCGCATTTTGGGGCACCTCCCCCAATCCTTGGATTTGGCGACCGGGCGCCAAATCCATGGATCGCTAATCAATGTTTGCGCGCCCCCGATGGTTGCAGTCGACTTGGCCGTTCTGGGACGCCGCATCGACCGCAACCAGTACGAAGCTGGCCTCGGTGTTCCGACGATTCGTGGCGTGCGCAAGACGTCCACCAGGGGGTGTCCTCGAGGTGGCTGTGGTCGCTGGCCATCCCCGCATGGTCGCCAGCGGGAGAGGTCGAGGATATCGAACATTCGCATACAGCCAAGACGCTGAAGGAAGGGCCGCGTTGGGGTCGGGAGGGGCGCGCCATGCCTCGCTGGTCATTCTGCGACTGTTTCTCAAGCCCTCCTCGTTCGCTCAGGCATGTCTGGTGACCAAAACAGGGTGTCTTCCTTATCCAGCGTTCCTGATTTCAACAGCCCGACTGCAAACATACGGTCGGGAACTTTTGGACAGCGAGTCGGTCCGCCGTTTCTGGCCCACCACGGAACGACGCGGTATCCACGTCGCGGTCCCCGAGCATCAGCACCCCGAGCATTTCCGAACCATCAGGGCTGGGGGTGGTCAGGGGCAGCTCCTGATGCGTGCCTCGGGGGCCCAAGCTAGAGATGCCCCAGATTAGAGTCATCCTGGATAACTCGGGCATCCAACCACTCCCGAATCCTCGGGGCCGGGGGTGGTAAGTGGCAACTCCTCCTTCTTGCGTCGGGGGCCCAAGCCAGAGTGATCCCGGACTGGAGTTATCCCGGATAACTCGAGCGTCCTAATCTCGGGGGCGGAAAAGAGGGGGGTGATGACTAGGGGGGGGTGGATATCATGGCGTGGGCCATGATATTTCCCCAGATTTCATGGCGCCTCTTCTTATTTCATTACGTCCCTGGCCCCCCCGCCGGGCCGCGCACATGCCGCCGGTCATGATTTGCACCCCCCCCTCTTTGACGCCCCCCTCTTTGCCGCTCCCGATAATCGAGGATCGAACAATGACGTAATTCTTGGATCGACGCTTGAGGCCCACCGGCGGCGCCTTCGGCGCCGCCCCCTGGCGCGCTCCGCGCACCAGGTAGGGATGTCCAGCGCCGCTCCAGGAAGCCGCGCGGAGCTCCGACACTTTTTTGGGTACACCTTGGGCGATGCTTAAGAAAACTCAAATTTTCGGCCAGAGTCTCGATTATTCTTAATGTTCCAATGTAAATCCTAAAATTTGAATGAAAATGTTGGGTTTTTACTCAAGTTCTGAGACTATGAATTTCTTAACCCATGATTTCTTAAGCATTTCGCAGGGTGTATCTGTTTTTGTTGTGGACCCTGAGATGTTGGCGTTGCAGCTTGTTCACGCTGGGTGTTTCCGCCCGCATGTGGGTCCCAGGACCATCACAGATCGATCTGGCTCGACTCGAAAAATGGCGCAGACCACGGCTCTGGCCGTGATCTTCGACGATGTGTTCATTGTGTGTACAACGTCGGATCTCAGGGAAGGGAGCAGAAACGCCCCGATGCCGATGGCCCCAGCCTCCCCCCCAGACATGCTGGCGTCGTGAGCAGAAGTCACGTCGGGAGGTTAATGGCATTTTTCGGCCCCTCGGAGCCTTCGCCAGGCCCCTGGACCATCGAAAATCGACCAGAGATGAAAAACCAGCCCTGGGGAAATGGTCGGACTTTGAGGAGGGGATTCCGCGTTGGAAAAAAACAAACTAGACATCGGATGTTTGGGCCCGGTTCCACCCATCTTCAGAGCCTTCGATCATCAGAGCTGGGGGTGGTCAGGGTTAGCTCCTAATTCGAGCCACGGCGGCCCAAACTAGAGTTACCCGAGAGCGTAGTTATCGTGGAAACACTTTGGGGGCTCGATGCTACTTCCGTGGCTACTTATTTAGCGCTCCATCGTCACCCGCAGGCGCTCATGGGACCAGAAAGGGGCTTCGTTCCCTAATTTGGCTCCCCGTCTCCCAGACCCTCGACGTCATGCTTTGTTCACGACGTCGGCCCCCAGAAGTCTCGACTCATTCCCTGGGACCTGCTTTTCATCCAGGGTCGTCTTTTGACGGTCTCGAGGGCCAGTGAGTGCCCCCAGAGGCCGGAAACGGCGTAAAGATTTTCCCGTTGTGCTTTTTGTTCGTTGCCCGAGGGGGTCTGGGTTTCCGCAGCCCGACGGCAGCTCGGGCGTCCAACCTCTGGGCCTCCTGGGGCAGGGGGGGGGGGGGGCTCGCCGCCGCGGCCGGACTCCCGTCTGGGTCCAGCTGGTCGCAGCGCGCCCCGGGGGGAGCTCCAGGGAGCAGCGTCGTCATGGATTGCGCAAGGCGCGTGGACTGGCGACGGGTCCCGCCTGCTCGGCGGCGAGCGGGGGGGGGGAGGAAGCGAGAATCGAGAAGGCCTCCTCAGAAGGCGGCGGGGCTCCTCACAGACCCTCGCGCCCTCTGAGAAGTTTCCCCGCGCGCCGTCGGGGAGGCTGAGGCTTGGCACGTTGATCGGGAGGCCAGGGCCTTCCGAGCCCTCTGAGGAGGCCCGCCTCGCTCCCCCCACCCAGGATCGCCGCCAAAAATCGAACTCGGGGCGCGCGACGGGCCTCGCTCCCGCGCGCCATCGGCGCGCTGCGGCGCCAAGTCGGGCGGCGCCGGCCCCGCGCCTCGGGGAGGCACCCCTCCCCCGATGTCGTGGATCGGGCGCGTCCACGCGCCGGACCCACGGAGCCCGAGTCCATCGCGACCCAAAATTGTTCAGGTGGTGGTGGTGGTACTCAGCATCTGGTCAAGCCTGCATTGCTACTCCAGTTACAATTGACCGCTGTGCGCATAGTGAGGGAAGCTCCCCTCGCGAAACTTGAAAGTCGGCACTCCCGTCGCGACTAGACTGAAAGGAGGACGTACACGTCCATGAATCCACGCTGGTTGCGAGAGTACGCGGTGCGCAACTGTTCGCATGACGCGGCGGGTCTCGCGGATCGAGGGGCCGCGTCCATGTACAGAGCCGGGCGCGTACGTCCTTTTTGTGGGCCCCCGAAAAAAGGACCCCCCCCCCATCCCCTTCCACAAAGGGGGGTGGGCAGACTTTCCGAAAGGGTGCCGCGACTGGGGGCTGGATTTTTTCTGGGAGCGGCCCGCGCTCGAGCGCCAGCTCCGAGGGCCGCCGAAATTTCAGCCGCGCCCGCGGTCCTGGCCCCCCGGCTGGCATGGATGCCAGTGTGCGCCGCCGTGGGGGGCGGCGGTGTCATTCTGGATCCCTGATCCGTGTTCGCGCGCGCCCGAATCTTCCCTGTGCTTCCAGGTGGCGGCCCTGGTGTCCGTGCTCGCGGCGGCCACCGCCATCACGGCCGCGTCGGTCGCGCGGGGGCGGCAGCTGAGGCGCATGGCCGCCGCCGGCCTGGAGCTGCAGCTGAACGCCGCCACGGGCGGTGCCACCTGGGTGCCCGAGTTCGAGAGCTCCTGCGGCGGTCGGGGGCAGGAACATGTCCACTGTATCAAGTTATGTTTGTCCACCACTTCGTGGCAAATGGCGGCCCGAACGCAGTGTAGAATTATAGTTGTTGTTCAACACCAGTCGGCCGGAGAACCGGCTGGAAAAGTATACGCTGTACGTTGTCCTGTGGCGTTTCACCAGTAAGACGTACGCGTTTGCACAGGCATGTGCGAGTGGTAAGTTATTTGTTTGTGTTGTCTGGTTCCACAGCAGAGATCCCCCAACACACACACACACTGCTTGCAATATGGGGGTTTGGAACTGGGGGGGGGTGTCCGTCTGGCGGTTCCGAGCTCGCCGTCGCCGCTCCGTCGCCGCCCCGCCGCCGCCTGCATTGCACAACATCTGCTGCAAGACGTGAGGTGCGCCTAGGATCCCCCCTTCCCCCCGGAATTAACGATTCACCTTTTCGCGTTGTAATCCATATGAGATTGTGCCCATCGCCCATCCGAAATCTGAATCCGTACCATCCTAGGCATGCTGGCACCTGCCTCCCGTCACCCCCTGCAGAAAACAGTATGCGCGCGCACTCGTTTATCACAAATCATAAGTTTTCGTGTGTTCAAAACGAGAAGAAGTGTACGCGCGCGCGTCGTCGCGCGCACATGCCGAAATCTTTCACAAACCTCAATTTCCGCAAAGATTCCAAAGTCGAGTGTCACGAAAACCAAACACAAGCACATGGTCCGCAACAAGGATGTCAAACAGTTCCCTGCACCTGAGCTTTTGCAGATCCTTCACACAATTGCAGGTTGTTCAACATTTTCAGAACATGCTACCAAACGGGCCTTTTCGCGCGCACATGTTGAAATCGTTCGAACGCCATTGCGCGCGTGCTGCCGCAAGATTCAAAAATCCTCGGCAACAGATGGGAGGAAGTGCGCACGCGCGCGTCGTCGCGCGCGCACGCCGGAATCTGTCAAACAAAAAAAAAATCGCAAAACATTTAGTTTCGAGTGACCCGGGAACATATAACAACCCATGGCTTCGCAACATAAGTGTTCAAAAAAGCCTGCGCGCGCGCTCCTGCGAAGTCCTGATCAAACCAATGGCTTTTTACCGTTGCCAGCAAAGTCTGCCAAGCGGGCCTCTCGCGCCGCATGTTGAGATCATCCGAGCGCCCTCGCGCGCGTGCTCGGGGGGGGCACGATCCTTGACAAATAGCGCCACGCGGGCCACTCGCGCGCGTCGGCCGCGCGCGCATGTCGAATTCTTTCCAAAACCTCCAACGCCGTCGCGAGAACATCGCCATCGTTGTCGGCGGACGTGATCAACGTCGGTGCCGTCATTCGCCGTGCCGTCGTCATCTCCACCGTCGCCATCATCGTAACTGTCATCATCGCGTCCACCGTTGTCGGCGTCGCCATGATACCGCGCCCGCCCAAGTCACTGACCCGCACTGGAGTGCCCGCTGGGAAGTGCCCAGCGGTCAAGGCCACCGCGGCCGCGTCGGTCGCGCCGCACTAGCTGGCCGCTGCGAACGCGAGCATGCGCGGGCTAGCGCGGCCGCGGAGATGCACCAGCCAACGCCAAGCAGTCAGCGCATCGCCGTCGCATTGGCTGAGAACCAAGTTGCGGGTGGGCGGGTGGGGCGATTGCGCGAGCAGCAGATTTGACAAATCATTGCGGGCGTTGTACTCCTTTCCAAGCGATGCTTGCGATCTAACCCCCCCCCGTCTCCTCCCCCCGCCCCCCCGGAATGAACGGTGTCTTTCTTTTTCCGCGTTGCAATTTCCAGATGTTTTTGTTTCATCGCCCACTGTGCAGATGAACTCATATCATCGCGGAGACGCTGAGACGAAGTGCACGCGCGCGCGTCGTCGCGCGCGCGTGCCGCTCGAGGTTCCGCCCAGATTTCGCGACCAGAATTTTCAAAGCAATTTGCGCTCGCGCTCCTGCAGATTCTCCAGGCAACTACAGGTTGTTAAGTATGTTCATCATGCGCTACCAAACGCGCCTTTCGCGCGCGCATGTCTATCTTGCTCGAACGCCGCATCGCGCGAGCCGCCGCGATGCTCTTTCGGGGGGGGGGGGGGGGGGCGACCGAGTGCGCGAGCGCGGGGGCCCTTTTAAACCCGCGGGTTCCGCGGAGACTTCAGAAACGAACGCGCCGAGAAACATGCGTGCATGAAAACGCGTGGCCACGCGGTTTCGCAGCGTCAGTTTGCAAAAATGCTCGCGCTCGCGCCCCTGGGAATCCCCATCGGAATCATTGATTTGTCTGACATGTTCACTGCATTCGGTCAAACGGGCCCCTCGCGCCGCGCGTCGAAACCAGTCGACGGCCCCTGCGATCGCGCCGGGGGTGGGCGGGCGCGATCCGCGCCGAGCAATGCCGCGCGGGCCATTCGCGCTCGTCGGCCGCGCGCGCGCCTCGACCTCTTTCCGCAACCTTTATCGCCGACGCGAGGGCGCCGACATTGTCGCCAGCGTGATTGGCATCGGCGCCGACGCTGGCCGTGCCGTTGTCGTTGTCATCATCGTCGCCAGCGTCGCTGCCATTATCATCGCGTCTACCGCCGTCTCGGTTGCCGCCCGCGGTGCCGCGCCCGCCCAAGTTGCCTTCTTGCGCTGACGTGCCCCCGGCAAGTGCCCGGCCGTCAGCTCCGTCGCGGTCGCGTCGGTCGCGCCGAACTGGCCGGCCGCTGCGCGCGCGAGCGCGCGCGGGTTAGCGCGGCCGCGGAGGCGCACCGTCGAATTCCGCGCACTCATCGCAATCGCCGCCGCGCGGGTTTTGCAAATCAAGGTTCGGGCGGGCGGGCTGGGGGCGATTGCGCGAGCGGTGGGTCGGACCACTCACTGCGAACGAAAAGTCAATCTCCTCTCCAAAAAAGCAGAAGAACCCCCCCCGCCCCCCCCCCCCCCGCCCACACACACACACACACACACGCACACACACACACACACACACACACACACACACACACACACACACACACACACACACACACACACACACACACACCACACCCCGGATTTAACCGCCCCCAGCTTCTCATTACATTTTACATATGATTCTGCCTTGTCGCCCATCCTAGATGCAAGTTCGCGCCGCCCCGGGATGGCCGGCGCCCGCCTTTCACCGTCGCCCCCAAAACATATTACGCGCGCGCACCCGTCTATCATATTATATGTATATGTGCATGTGTATGTATATGAAGGTATGCATGTATGTGTATATATATATATACATATATATATATATGCACCAAGATCCCCGGTCAACGAGAATACGAAGTGCACGCGCGCGCGTCGTCGCGCGAGCATGCCGGAATCCTGCGCAATCCGTCGACGCCGCGCGGGCTTCGCTATTGAGTGCCACCCGAAAATTAAAAACATGGTTTCGCAAGCCGGATGCAATGCCAGCGATCGCGCTCTTGCAGATTCTTACGAAACCATGGGATGTTCAGAATTTCCACAAGATGCTGCCGAACGGGCCTCTTCGCGCGCGCGTCGAAATTGTTCGAACGCCCTGGCGCGTGCGCTGTCGCGGGAATCGCCTGCTGAAAATGAGGCGGCGCGCGCGCGTCGCCGCGCGCGCGCCGAAACCAGCGGCACACATGCAAACGCACGGTTTTTCAATTTCAGTCTGCGCAAGAAGTGTGCTCGCGCGTTCGCGCGTACTCTTCAGAGAGCCATGGGTGTTCAACCTTGCCGTCGCATTCTGTCGCGCGGGCACCTCGCGCCGCGCGTCGAATTCATCCGAACGCCCCTTCGCGCGTGCTGGGGAGGGCGCGATCCGCGTCGAATAATCGCACGCGGGCCGCTCGCGCGCGTCGGTCGCGCGCGCGCGCGTCGAACTCCTTTCAGAACCTTCGTTGCCGACGCGAGGGCATCGTTATCGTCTTCGGCGGGCGCGATCCACATCGGCGCCGCCATTGGTTTTGCCGTCGCCATCGCCGCCGTCGCCGCCACCGTCGCAAGTCTCATCGTCGCGCCCGCCGCTGTCGGCACAGCAGCGATGCCGCGCCCGCCCAAGTCGCCGAGTCGCACTGACGTGTCCCCTGGAAGTGCCAGCGGCCAGCGCATCCGCGGTGGCGTCAGTCGCGCCGCACTTGCTGGCCGCTGCGCGCGCGATCGCGCGCGGGCTAGCGCGGCCGCGAAGATGCACCAGCCAAAGCCAGAAACACATCGCAATTGCCGTCGCATGGGTTTTGCAAACCAAGTTGCGGGCGGGTGGGCGGGATGATTGCGCGAGCACTGGAGTTGGCAATTCATAGCGAACATTGACCATTCATTGCGAGCGTTGCCCCCCCCCCCCCCCCCTGCGGGTTAACGGCTTTTCGTCCGTCGCCCCCATCGCCCATTTCTATTCATGCCGCCCCAGGCAGGCCAGACCACGCTCCCCCCCCCCCTCTCATCTGCTGCAAGTCAAAATACGCGCGCACACTCGCCCATCAAAAATCACAGTTTTCCAGGGCCCCCTGCAGCAAACAACGGACGAAGCGCGCATGCGCGCGTCGTCGCGCGCGCGCCGCAATCCTTCAAACGCCAACGGTTTCGCGCGGCTTCCAAAACCGATCGCCCCGAACACACATATGTACATATGTATACAAACAGGGTCTCACAACAGGGGCCCCCAAATAACGTTTGCGCCCGCGCCCCTGCGAATTCTTTTGAGCATGTTCCATAGTTACATTTATATATATATATATATATATATGAAAAAAAAAAAAAAAAAACGCTACCAAAAGAGCCTCTCTCACGCGCGCTACGAAATCGCTCGGGCGCCCTTGCGCGCGCGCTGTCGCAAGGGCCCTCTTATGAGAAAATGGTGCGGCGCGCGCGCGTCGTCGTGCGCATGCCGGAAGCTTTTGGACACCGCGTGTTCCTCGAAGCCTTTATAAACAAGTATCCTGGAAGCACGTGAACACACGTACTGTTTTGCAACGTTCCTTTTAAGCCTGCGCTCGCGGTCTTGCGGATTCCTGCGGCAACCATGGGTTTTGCAACGTTGTCACTGGGTAATGC